TTAATTCGACATACATATGAAGTTTTGCTCTTATATGTCTGTCTGATTGGATGGAATGGGTAGGTATCTGTGCTACAAATGTATCGAGAATTGTTTACAACAAAAATCACAAATGTCGCTTGTCGAATTTGATTATAGTTTAGAAAGGAACATTAAAATTAGCTTGAAACGATTGATCAGCAGTAACCCAGATTCAATTCATTCCAATTTAATAAGAAGAAATCTTGTATCCACAAACCAGTTTTTGTGAAAAGTAACGGAATAGACTTAATACTTATGTTTAATACTAGGTGAACTATTTTGCTTTGGTCCTGGCCAGCTATACTGTAAACCAAACATAGAGGAAAGGGTAAGTAAGGCATTAATTGCTATATATTTTTGTCAGAGACCACTGGAGATCTCCCCAGCCTCTCGACAAAGGTGGCTTATTTTTTTATGTTCTTAAGTGGTATAACGTGACAAAATGCTGCCCTAAAAACCGTTAACCACCTGTACTCCTGCGCTTAACTTAATTACTTAATTTTGTACGGCAGGTACTCCGGAATTGTTCAAAGTCTAGGGCTCATCTTTGCCTTAACCGATTATTGCATATCGTCTCTTAATCCTTTTGGATCTTTCGTTAGTACGCAGTTTTGTAGCCCATTCAATTCTAGTAAAAAAATGCATGTTCAGAGTTAGTCAAAAATCGCATTGATTTTTTAGAATATTTTTTGTTGAAGGTGTTTTGCATTTTTTCCATATAAAGTATATTCGAAATTTTTTTTTTTTTGTATGGAAGAGACTGCGTGAAAAAATATTTCCAAAGATCAACGGTAATTCATTTCTCGTGAGTCGAGCTTGTATAATTTTTTCTACCTTAGAGAAATTGACCGCTTTACCCAAACAGAGAATCATACTCGCCTAGTTTTTACAGGGTAATATGATGTAAATAAAATAGAATTATTTCCTTTTTTCACTTAAAAAGTAGTATATTTCGCATACAGGAACGTTCGACATCAATTCGCATTTGCATACGTTTATACATACGTGTGTGTATTTTACATTTTAATTGATTGCACCTCCAGTTGCTTTTAGATGTGCAACTGAATCCAACCACTCGGAATACTTCATGAAAGTCTATACAAATTTTTAGCATACACATGTACATTAGGGCGCATCACAAAAAAAGTTGCGGTTTTTTCGCCAATACCTGTAAGAATTACGTGAGCTACACAGATTTAAAAATATATCAGAAAATCCCATTATTTTGATTTCATTCAAAAACTACCAGCTTGCGTAAATCTTAATACTTTTCCAAGATATTTTGGCGGAAGTCTTAAAATATAAAGAGAACCGATTTTTTTCTATGGGAGGATACACCCTAATATACATACATACATGTGAACATGCTTCATTAAATTCCTATAATTTGAGCCCCTCTTCGGCCCCTTGCAGACATATACAGGCAACATATCTATGAGCACAATAAAAATGCCAGCAACAACAACGCAAATGTATTACAAAAACATTTTTTTCTTCCAAACCCTTTTCCATTCACTCATTGTTTGCTTTCAGGCATTTTAGCAGCATTCCTAGCCTCAAATATCCCAGCTCATCTCCATAGCACGTTTTCGTGTGAGCCTCTCTCCCCCCGCTTTTTGTATTTCACCTCTGCATACATGCATACATACTCTTAAGTATATATGTATGTGCACGAAATCATCAGTCAGTCACTCAGTCAGCAGGTTTGCATTACATTATTGCTGTGCACCATAATCCAGCTGTATGTGCAACTTGATGTTGCATTCTTTATTTTACTGCTTTTTTGTGGCAATTTTTTATCCCTTACCCTTTGCACTTTTGTCTTGTTTACTTATAAATATGCATGCACGTAGAAACATACATAGCTTGGAGCACAATCACGTCAGATTTACCAGTCGATCTCGCAGGATTGTCCTTTTATCTATGCCCACCGTTGTGGTGTTGCTGCCGTAAGATGGCTATAAGGTTCATGTCCGCAGCCATGATTTTCTTGTAAAACTGACGTTGACAAGCTGTTCATGACTTGAGTAGGAAAATTTGTTTGAGTATGGAAATTGTTAGTTAACTTTGTTTGTGTTTACTGGTGCCTGTGTATATTTAGTACTTACTTATGAACTTTTCTATGCATTTCCGAGCCAATTGTATGTGTGTATTTAGAACTTAAAACTTTAGTTTTAATTTCTATGTTACACTTTTGTCTTCGGTCAATTGCAAAACTACTGCTGGCCGAGAATTAATTATTGAGCTTTAGAGTAGTACGAAGGAGAAATACTGACTTAATTACCAAAAAATTCGGATTTGCATAAATGGAATTTCGTATTATTCTTCCACAACAAGGAAATTAGAAAATATAATCTAAATTTGCTCTTAAATACGGAGCATCGGCTAATTTGAATTCCGGAAACTCCTCGAGGGTGAGATAGAAGCAAGTAGGAATCGATACTTTAGGTCCGATATTTTGCAGGCATCGATACTACTTCCAAAAAAAAGTATTGATACCTGCATGGTATCGTTTCATCCCCATGTATTAGTATGTTTATTCCCAATAAGCATTGGGCTTGGTTAACCATTCGAAAATGATTGGAAAACCAATCCTTTTTCATGTCTCACCTTCGATAACGAATGTGGAATTGGTTAGTATTCGATTCGAGAACTAGGCAGAACTAGGCCATTCTCCAGCAAGACGGAACTTTCGTTATCCAATGTATTTTCCCTTCGTTATGAATTCGAAATGCAGCCCATTATCGAATTGTAATTTTAAATTTCTCTTCGAGAACTGGATTTCACGTTCCCTCTTTTTACTATGGTTTTCATTTTATTTTTTTTTTTGTCGAACACATATCGAATGTATTTCCACTATTCTATGAACGTTGCAAAACTAAGGATGGTTATGAGTTAGTTCTCAGTTCGGTATGCATATTGGATATCGAAGGTCATTTTCGAACGTTCGCCACAATTTTTATTGGGTTATTGGGATTCCGAATATAGCCTAAAATGGCTATTCTAGCTAAGATAGTTGCAAATCTTTTATAAGACAATTGAAAGACAGACCGCAAGATAGTTTGAAAGATTTGTTGATTCTGGCACGAAAGTATTTCAAAAAAAAACCTCCCTTGCCAACTTTCATGCTGACAGAAAGCACTTGAGCATGTTCCAAATTAACAGATATGTATATCATTTTGCTCACGCTGCTCCAACAGTCGCAATGGCCGAGTGAACAAAGCGCTACCGTGCCTCTCGGGAGATCCTCGAGCCGGGCAGCGGATTTTTTTTTCGTTTATTTGATACAATTTTTTTCAATTCAACTTTATTTATTTATATATTTTATTCTTTTTAAAAGACAAATTATTATTTGTTTAATTTTTAGAATTTTATTTCATTGTTTTCTTTTTAATTTATTTTTCTTTTGTGGATTTGTTTAAAAAAAATAAAATTTTAGCTTTTAGGAACTTTATTAATTATTTCTTCTTTTAATTTAGTTTTTTCTTGTTGTCATTTAATTTTCTTTCAACTATTAAAAATGTTTTTTTTATGTAAGTTAATTTTTAGAAAAAATGTTTTGTATTTTTAATACTTTTTGTTCATTTGATGTTTTATTTTAATTGTATTTTAGTTTTTTGTTTTTATTTATATAAAACAAAATTAATTTTTAATTTCATTAGATTTTTGGAAACCTATTTTCTCTAATTTTATTTAATTTAATATTACTTTAGTTATTTGTTTTATTATTGTAAATTTACTTAATTGTTTAGGAACATATTTTATCAATTTTTTTCTTGTTTTAATTTAATTTTCTTTTAACTTACATTTAATTTTTAAAAACTGATTTTGTTATTTTTATTATTATTTTTTATTATTATTATTTTTTTTTAATTTTCACATTTTATTCTTTTAAAAGAAAACTTTTTTTATTTACTTAATTTTTGAGTTTTATTGTTTTAAAAAGAAAAATATTTTTTTTTTATTTGATTTAGTTAATTATAAAGCTTAAAGCTAAAACACAAACTGGTAAGTCCCCCTCGTTAGCGAATCTTTCAAGTAGCTCTCAAGCAGTCTTTCGAGAGACAGAAAATAGCTTTCTAGATTCTAGTCGCCAGAGTTGACCTTATCGTATGAAAAACCTTCGTATTTCGAAAGACTGAAGTGAAGTTGAAAGATAGTTGAGTAGTCCACTTGCAAACAGCGTTATGTGATTTTATAATAGAAAGCCATAAATTCGAAAAAACATCTACGACAACAACATTTAAATTGAATCTCTTTTATTATTACCTGAAAATTTGGATAAATAAGAGCCTTATAAAATTGTAACATAACATAACATGACATAAGATAACATTAACAGTCTATACGACCTAAAGCAGTTTTCTAAGTTCATCAGAAGACGTTTACTTTTGAAAGTTTATAAACAAGTATGATAGCGACTTTTGGAAGAAGAGTTAACATTTGATGCTATTTTTTCAGAATATAAAAAGATTTTGTTCTGTGTTGTTAGTGGACATGAAACTACTCTAAATACTGGTACGTAATCCTCCAAAAACTAAAAATCGAAAAAATTTTACATAGCGCTCTTTGCAAGTGGACTACTCAGTTGCTAGGCTTGCCCTTTAAATATACCCTAGAAATATTAACGATTTACATGGATGCTTTCTCTTTTTCTGGCCACCTTACTGATTAACATTTTGTCGGATTATAAGGAATCGAAACTGTTTGAATTAGGATTGAACTTTCGCCTTTTTTTAAGAATGTTTTATAAGCATATTAAGAATTTGAACAAAGCTAATTTGCGATTTTACTAGTTAGTAACTATAAGTAAATAGAACATTATAATCTGCGAAAACGAACGAAATTTCAATTCAATTTCAGAAAATTTTTTCTTTTAGTAAGTATTATTTTGTTTAAATTTTTAACTCATTTTACAAATTTACCAATTTACCTTCGGATAATCAATATAAAAAAAAATAATTAATAATGATATTAACCTTTGCAATGGTTGCGGCATCACGTTCTTTAATTCCATTTCCTTGTTGGCTGCGTTATTCTTCTCGGCGCTATCATTGCTGCCGGTTGTGTGCGAGCGCGACACCGGAAGTGTGGCCATATTATCGCCGCTCTCGACATCAACAGTAGCGACTTTAACTTCGCCGCCACCCATTTCTAACAAATTGCACTAACACACACAACAACAAGTGTTCAGTTTTGTAAATTTTTAACCTTTTTTATTTTTGCTTTGTTTCTTTTTTCAGCTTGAACTAATTTTTAACTATTTTTAAAAACAATTATTTGGTTGTTGATTTGAGCACATTGATTTGACTCTGATTTACATTTTAATATCTTTTTTTTTGTGTTATAAAATATTTATGAGCAATTTTTAATCGCTTTCAAATTTAGTACACCATTTTTTAGGCGATAGATTGACAAATATTCTTCTTTTAGTTTTACTAATTTTTTTTTTCTAATTGTTTCCACAATTGGACGCTAGCGTATTTCGTTGTCACTGTCACATTAAAACTGCGAGAGGAAATGGTAGAAGAAATTCAACATTTCGATTCTATGTACAAAAAGCAGCAAAAGTTGCTAAAACTGCGCTTCAAATACAGGCGTGCGCTCCTCGTCATATTGCCGATGTTTTTAGAAAGTGTATGTGTTGTGTGGAACTCATTTGAGTATAAATGTAGGGAGCTACTGTTATATTTTTTTGTTAGTAGGAGCATTGATTCTCTCACGCGACTCTATACTCAAGGAGCTAATACTCATAGGTGCTTATGTATGTATGTGTGGCGCTGCGCATGTGTGCGAGTGAGTCGCCTATTTCTTTTTCTTTAGCGTTGAAGTTTTCCCCTTTGGTTTCCCCTATTTAAAAACTCTACTTTACTCTTCTGTGTAATACCTCCTCCCCCAGCGAATTCATATTCGTATGTGTATTTTTTACTACTCGTACTTTGCCTTACTAGTTTTTTCGCACCTCTGTGCTAAGTATGTGTTTTTTCTTTCACTGATTGAAAACATCCTTTCATGCGCTGCTCTGGCTTTTACGCCTCACTTTCCATGCGAAACTGTGCCAGACTTTTATGATATTTGCATAATTTTTTGCTTGTATATATGCTGGGGTGTTGCTTCGTTCTCCACCATGGCATACATACATATTCACACATACATATGTAGTAACTACGCTGGCTCCTTGCACGCTCAGCTGCCTTGTTGGAGCTTTCAAGCATTGTATGTAATGTATACTGCCGTTTTTCAACTTGCGTATCCTATAATTTATATTCAAATTGTATACGCATTTCATTTGCATGGTAAATGGGTTAAAACGCTAAATAAAATTTGGGTGTAAAGAATAGTGGGTACAGAGAAAATTTAGAAGAGAACAAACACGAAATTTGAATGATTTTCATTACAGAGCAAAACAAAAAAAATATATGAAGATATTTCATATTAAATAAGATACATATTTGGCTAGAAATAAGAGGGGTGCGTTTCAGATTTCTCAATTTCTATTTAATGTTGCTTTTAAAGACGAAAGAGTTATAAGAAATGAACTTCGGGGTAGAGCGTTTTCTGTGTTCGAAAACAAATTTCCTGTTTCTACATTCTTTTCGGAGCCTTTTATATGTGTACGTAAAAATACTAAAGTTCTGCCAGGAAAAACTTATTTTCTAAGACTGCTTGTTAACAGAAGAATGTATTAGTTTTTTGGGCTTCTGTTTGTCACATTCTGGCTTGGCGATTCTAACAAAACTCCTACTATCTTGGAAAGGTACAACTTAGAGGGGCGACATTTATTCCGCACATAATATAGTAATTTGCTTCTATTAAAAATAATCCCAACCCAGCTGAAAAAATCATGGATTCCAGACAGGCGTTGTTCAATTTTCGTGTATTTTTATCCACACTAGACCGGGAAAGATACGGCCTCAGAATTAATTCTGAGCTAACTATTACCTACGCCTTAACTGCGTCACGGAAGTCCTCTGTCAAGAAAAATTATCTAGGATTTCTCACGCCAGAGCTGAACGAAAACTTTCAAATTAAGCAAAATATACGGTCTTAGCGATTTGAAATGTTTTGGACAGAACAAGTAATTGTTTAGCAAAAAACAAAACTGACTTAAATTCTCTTATAGAACTTTATTAGTATCGTTTATTTCTTCATGTCGCAATGATCGGAACTAAACCACATTAGTAAGGGACCACCTCTGAGGTACTACATTTCCTTAAAAAAAAAAACAAAGATTTATAAAAGTCGCTTCACGTGGTCCAAAGTTATGCGGTAATATACATAAAAAATTAAAATATTCCGACGAATTGATAACCTCCTCCTTTTTTTGAATTCGGTTTTAATAAATATCTACGCTAATTCGAACTGAACATTCTCTAGCTGAATGTGCAGAGGCGCTTGATATTATTCGTTAAAAGCCGTTTACATTGTCCCACTTTAATAGGCGATTAGTTAAAACAAAAGTTTAACGAAAGCTGGCTGCCGAAACCGATTAGTTGAAAAGCTGTTTACACCATTCAACTGACGCATTAAACACAATATTGAAAGCAAAGTTAACAATGTAAATGCCCTTTTAGCTTCCAAATGATGTTAGGTTTCATTCGCGCCTAACTTAGCATAAAGCATGAAACTTTTTTTTGGCCTTACTTTTAGGAAAAAACTTCTATGAAGTGCAGAACAAAAGCATATTCAATGGAAAAAAGTATATAAAAAATTTTGTAAAGGAAACTAAGACCGCTTGGCGCCAAATCATTTGTATTTTAATTTGAAACAAACCCGTTATGGTTTATTTTCTCTCAGTGCATGTACTTTAAAAAATGATTTCAAAAAAAATATTGATTTAATACTTTACACGAATAATTCTACTACATATAGGCAATTTATCTCATACTTCCCTCTTTGCCTTTTAGACTACTTTGGTATAATGATGTAGTAAAATCTTTACATTTTGATGAAATAGCAACTAATTAAAAATATCGAAATTCCCTTGCGAAAACAAAAGCAAATTTTTTTGGCCTCAGCTCAAACCAACTAACGGTTGTAGTGTTAAAGAATAAGATGAAGAAGGAAATCTATCCTCTTGAAATCCGAAAAATGCTAAGTTGTATGTAGCCGATCAGTCAGCGCATATCCACACATACACACACCTGAGGGTGAAAAGGTGCCAAGTCCATTTTTTGAAATCATACAGAAGGGACGAAAAATCGAAAAAGTTTCATATTACCTGCCATTCTGCATCAAAAACGAAATTTTGAAAAAAAAAATGGACTTGGCACCTTTTCACCTTTAGGTAGCTATATGATTGCGTCGAATAATTTGCTTTAGTTGTAATAAATGTTCGTAGCTCACGAAATTCCACATTAACTACTGACATTTGTACACAAAAGCAGTTACTTCCTGTTACAGTAAATAATTTAACAAACAACAACATACATACATGTGTATATATATGTATGTATGAACACAAATTTTCCTCTTAATATTTATGTATGTACTATACATAGAATATCGTCCTGGTATACAAAAGCAAACAACAAAGATTTTTTGGGTGTGGTTGGTTGGCTATTTATTTCTAAGCTTTTTTGTCAACAATCATTGGGTTTTATTCGGCATTCACTCTTTGCTAGACTTTAGTATTTTTATAGGAAAACAAAAGGTGCCCGGAATTAGTTTCGTTTGAGACATATTAATATACAAATTTAAAAATAAAGTGATGCGGCATAGTAACAGATTACTGACTTCTTCTTCTTGCCTATGTGCATATAATTTCATCGTATCGGATTTAATAATAGAAATGTGAGCTAAAGTTCCAAATTGTGTGTTGTAAAAGACTTTCACTTCTAAATACATACATAAGCTAAGCTACTTACTTAAGTACTTTATGTGATAATTTACATAAATATAAGCCACTTAAGCAAATGTAACAAATGTCAAAACTTAGTCTGTGCCTAAATTCTTTTGTAAACAAAAAAATTTTAACAGCAATTTGTGGCAATTGTTTCGTTAAAGAAAATTGGAATTCGAACTTACTCTGGCCCCCATAGGCCGCATGCATTTCAGCGAAATGAATATAACCTATTCTGGTAGGTTTTAACGATATCGTTGTTGCCTTTGTTTTAAGTACATATGTATGTATATTGAAGAGATTGCGAAAACATTGTTAGTTTGCCAACAACTATCAAATAATCGACTTAAAAATATTCCTATATTTCTTTAAAAAAATTTAAAAGTTTTCTGAGATAGGGCGTTTTTAACTGGCTGCCGAGATAGGTAGATTTTCTATTCAGCTATCGAAAAATAAAACGAAAAATAGTCCAAATAATTCTTATTTTTCCAATTTACATGATCACAACAAAAAAAAATACCGTGATTTTTTTTTCGCATTGGTGCACCTAATTCAGTGGTATCGCATTTGCTTCCTGGTTATTTTTTTAAGTTTTCATAAATAACTTGTATGCAATAATTTTCATTTTATTTTTTACGCTATTTTTTATAAAAATATCTATGGTTCATTCTGCAACAGAAAACATAAATATATCATTTCTAAACTTTGTGCAAAACTTAGGAAAATTCAAAACCAATTGTCATGCCACTTTCAATTTTTTATTCAGATTTTTAGAACTTTTTGAGCCTAAATTTTGGTATAAAAAAGGCTAGTTTAAAGTTGCTAGAAAATCACGTTGATTTTTGGCATTTTTTTTGCTAAAAGTGTTTCGCATTTTTTCCATACAAAATATTTTGGTTTTTTTTTTTAATAAGAGAAACTTACTGAAAAAAATTTCTAAAAATCAACGGTAAGTAATTGACTACAACAAAGCATACTCAAAATAAATTCTTTAAAAACTGTTCAAAAAGTTTAAAATTTCAAACAAATTTATGGATTTTCCTGAGTTTTGTACATAATTTTTGTTGAAGAATCAACCAGTACTATAAAACATTAGCTGAAAAAATATGAGTTTTCTCGGTGTCTACAAAGCCTACAAAAATACCTCTAAAGAGGCACTACTGGAGAGTATTGATTCTAAAGGCATTGATCTTGTCATAAGGAAAGCAAACACAGGCACCCTTCAAGATGGAGCTCTTTCTCTGCTGATGTGGAAACTACTTCAAACGGGACGGAGGACGCTTAGATTAACTGCATCCTTCGGGTGTATGTCCGAATACTATAGCAAAAATTTACGATATTTTAATATTACACTACTCCAACTGCCGCACTAGAGACAAGACTCTAAACGCTTACTCAATTGGCTTAGTTTCAAAGAACTTGGCAAAAAAGTCAGCACTAAGACTGAACATGACAGGACAGCTTGAGCTACAAAAACCGTACAAACTGGAAGGGATCTGCAGTATTTTCTATGTCTCAACTAAAGCAGCTTACTGGTAGGCTGAACTAAACTTTGCCAACTCTGGTGTAAACAACTTAATTGATAGGCAGGTAGTCACCAAGGCTGTTGGAGCTGTGATAACTTTGTGACAACACCCCAGATACAAGATGGATTAATGATGTGTAA